AGATAAAGGAACTGGCTGATGAGCAATAAGTCTGGCAGTGTCATTCCCTGGTCATGCAAGACCCACAGGAAATCTCAGAATTTCAGGTCAGGACAAGGCCCCACAAGAATGTCGCTGCAGCCAGAGCTTTGTGGTTTGATGCCACCAGAGAATTTTCTAGGGGAAGGGTTCTGAGGGAAGTTGCACAACAAAATAGAAAGATGAAGCAGTGAGGACAGCAGATGCCTTTCCAAGACTCCTGGTAGAGGAGTGAGTTTAAAGTCCCCTAGGTTTATCCAGCTTATCATTAGCCACCTGTATGTAGTTCACAGTGGCCATAAGGCTGACATCAGATGGAACAGTTTCTCAAGGATTTTAGAGTCTAGTCCATGGATAGATGGTTTCATTAGTTGACCTGATAAAGGGTAAGGGCCTGACCCTGAGGGTCTGTTTGTGAAGCCAGGCTGTGATGTCTCCAGAGGGTTCAGTGAGGTTTGAGTTTTAAACCTAGGCATACCCACAGGCAGATATTAGAGGGCTTTACCCAAAACTGAATACTACCTCGAGGGAGAATGGTCAGTTTCTACCTTTGCTTCCTCTGGGGTGTGTTTCTCATTCATTAAACTGAGGAGGAGGAATTAAGAAGGGGCATTGTGTATACAAGTAAATCAGTAAGGCGTCTTTCCCCATAATAAACACACATTATTCAACAAGTATTGAGTTCCTATTGCTGTATGGACCAGCCACTCCATAGACACTGGGAGTTTACTGGGATGGAGCAAAGTCCTACCCTGTGGAGCATTCCTTCTAGGAAGGAAAGACAGACAAGTAACTACTGTTTCAGGTGGTAGTAAGTACTGTGAAGAAAAAGTAGGGGAGGAGAGTAGAGAATCATGTAATCAAGAAGGCCTTCAGATAGGGTCCCATTTGAGAAAGGCCTGAAGGAAGTGAGGGAGCAGGTAAGGAAGTATCTAGGAAAGGGGGTTCCTAGATAGAACAGCAAAGGCCACGGCCAGGCAGGCACATGCCCGGTGGGCTGGAGGAACTACGTGGAGGCCAGCGTGGCTGCAGCTGAATGAGTGAGAGGAGAGTTGTAGGTGAGTTAAAGAGTAGCCTGAGAGCAAAGCCATGCAAAGATTTTTGGCAGCTGGAAACAGGGCTTCGAACCAGTTCATTCGGGTTCAACCTCCTGTTGAGAATTTGCATTTCCACCTCAGATTTGTTGTTGTCATTAGGTGCCCTCCTGAGTTAGTTCTGACCCATAGGGACCCTGTGTACAGTAGAACTACACACGCCCGGTCCTGTCCCATCCTGACAGGCTCTGCTGTGCTTGAGCCCATGGGGCAGCCACTGGGTCTGTCCGTCTTGTTAAGGGGCTTTCTCTTTTCCCACTGAACCTCTGCTTTCCCAAACATGATGTTCTTCTCCTGGGACTGGTCCCTTCTAGTAACATGTACAAAGTACATGAGGCAAAGTCTTGCCATCCTTGCTTCTAAGATGCATTCTGTCTGTATTTCTTCCAAGACAGATTTGTTCCTTTTTTTTGATCTAAAAACCAAACCAAACTCACTGCCATTGAGTCGAATCCGACTCATAGTGACCCCTCCTTGGGTTTCTGAGGTGGTAACACTACGGAAATAGATTGCCCAGTCTTCCTTCTGAGGAGTGGCTGGTGGTCTTCTGGTTAGCAGTCAAATGCCTTAGGCACTACACCACCAGAGCTCACATTTTTCTGATAGTCCATGGTAAAGTCAGTATTCTTTACCAGCACCATAATTCAGATGCATCGATTATTCTTCAGTCTTCCTTATTCACTGTCCAGCTTTCAGATGGATATGAGGCAGCTGTCACAGAAGAATCATCTGGGGATTGTTAAAATGCGGATTCTGATTTAGTGTATCTGGGCCGGAAATGCAGCTCTCACCAGAATGAACAGGCTTTGCCTTTTATTCTGAGTGGGATGGGAAGCCATTAAAGGCTTTTAAGTGTTAATGATGACTCTACACGGTGTGAAGAGATGGGTCAAGAGCAAAAGAAAAAGAAAGGATACAGCTTAAGGCTTTTAAAGGTCAGATTTTGGATACAGTTTGAGATATTGACTAACTGGTTGTCAGGATGAAAGAAAGAGGATTCAAGGTGACACCAAAGTTTTTGTCTTGAGCACTGACAAGAACGGAGTGCCAGTAAGTGTAACTTAGGGAAATGGAGAAGACTCAAAATTCATTACCGTCAAGTCGGACCCGACTCATAGCGACCCCTCCTTGGGTTTCTGAGGTAGTATCACTACAGAAGTAGATTGCCCAACCTTCCTTTCAAGGACTGGCTGGTGGCTTTGAACTGCCCGCCTTCTGGTTACCAGTCACATGCCTTAGGTACTACGCCACCAGAGTGGGGTCTGCAGTGGTTCTGGCTTGACTGGATGTTTTAGAAGGAAGCTGTGGAGACTTAAGAAAAAAATTGACATAATCGTTGTTGTTGTTATGTGCCGTCGAGTTGGACGCGACTCATAGTGACCCCTCCTTGAGTTTCCGAGGCAGTATCACTACGGAAGTAGATTGCCCAACCTTCCTTCCGAGGAGTGGCTGGTGGGTTTGAACTGCCAGCCTTCTGGTTAGCAGTCAAGTGCCTTAGGCACTATGCTACCAGAGCTCCTGACCTAATCATTGGTTCTGTAATCTCTTTCCTCTCTGGCAGTCTCATGTATTTGGGTCAGTTGTCAAACAATTATGTTTTGGATAATTGGGATTTCCAGCATACACATGTTTAGGGATACTTAGCGTAGGCCTCTGCAGTTTACTTTGGTCAAAAGCTATAGCAGGGTAGGGCCCTGTGGGTCCAAAAGAGCCTTGGGATGGACTCTCACTCCAGGGGAGCTCTCATTTCAGGTTCTTTGGTCCAGATTTGATTAGGAGGTTGTTCTGGGCTTAGATATGCTTGGGGATGAGAGATGAACGATTGAATTACAGTCAGGAAACAGATCGCACTCTGTTAGGAATGCCCCTCTGTTGGCATTTTAAAACTGAGAATTACAGTGTGGATTTGGTTGGCCAGAGGCCTAGGGAGAAGGGCAGAAAGCTCTTGCTGATGTTCCAGTTTATGGTTTTGCCAGCTGTTTGGCAGCAGATTGATAGAGATCGAATACAACAGACTGGGCCCCTGAACACTGACTGACTCTAGGAGAGGTGGAACGGCGCTTGCTCCCCTCTGTCCACACCCAGTGCATGCGCATTCTTGAGTGGTGTGTCAGGAGTTATTAGTATTTGCCTCTAAGTCCCCACAAGTAAAATCTAAGGGTTGTTTATCAAAGGAAGTTTAAGTTTCCACTCTGATAGCACAATGATAGGACTGCATCAGTTAGCAGTGTAATTAAACAAAATTCCTTAGCAACAATACATTTGTGACCATTGAATTGGTATCCTTGTCTCTATGAGTTGTTTATGGCACTCCTGGTTGTGTTGTAACAAATGTATGCAAGTAGAGCAGATGGGATATGAGTAAAGAGACAAGGTTCCTTCTAAGTCTTAAGGAAATTTGACATTAGACAACAAACAGGAATCAGAGTTTCACACAGGCTGGATAAACATTTGTGTATGCCACACATTTGGCACCTATAGGAAAAAGTCTCTAAATGTATTGTTTAATAACTGTCTGGACAGGAAGTGGAGAATTTAGAGACGGGGTAAGTAGAGGGGGGCACAAGAGAAGTGTATTGAAGGCCTCGAGGAATAAGGGTCATCCGTTTTCTTTTTCCATCTCAGAGGGTTGGGTTCCCAATTAAGCTCACTTGCTTTCTTCCCCAACCATTCCATTCCCTAGCTTCTCCAGGTCATGTGGGCACTTAAGTGGTCGGAGTCTACAACTGCTTGGGTGAAGTGATAAGGCAGAGAGAAGAGTACGGGCCACATATGGACTGCCTGGGCTGGCTCTGCTTTACTGGCTCTAACACTCTTGTTGTTATGTGCCATCGAGTCATCTCTGACTCACAGCGACCCCTCCTTAGGTTTCTGAGGCAGTATCTTTACAGAAGTAGGTTGCCCAACCTACCTTCCAAAGAGTGGCTGGTGGGTTTGAACCGCCAGTCTTCTGGTTAGCAGTCAGGTGCCTTAGGCACTGCGCCACCAGAGCTCCCAAACATTCCTGTGGGAGGGGATTATTTAACTGTTCTCTGAGGGCATGGATAGTATTCCTCAGAAAAGGAGCCTAGCCTGCTTCATGTTGGTTAAGTGAGCATGCAGCCACAACTGTGTCCTCAGGGAAGGGGCACTGTGAAGCCATCACACTTCTAGGGTAACCACAGGGCAAGTAATGGACAGACATTATTTCCTTTGACTAATCTTTTGTAATCGGGGTCCAGATGTGGCTCCTGAAAGTAGTTCTTTGTCTAAGTCGGGATATTTTATTTAGGACCCAGATGGACTGGGGGGTAAATGTCTAAAAGGTCTGTTTCACTCAGTGTGTCACTGTCCTGGATTCCTGGCTGGCAGCAGTTTCATTAGAAAAGCAGATTCCATCCTGACTCATCTGCCTCTATGAGGTGTGTGATACAGCTTCCTAGTCCGCATGGCAGCCACCAGCTCGCTGGATGGAGCACTGTGCACTGCCGGTTCTGCAGCAGCGCTAGCTGCAGGCGTCTGGCCCAGACCATGGAAAACCTTCAGAGGAGACAGTCTGTTATGGGGCAGGAACTTTGTCCTGGAATTTCCTGATCTTTGTCTGTCTGCTGTAACTTCATATACTGAGATGCCTGTTTTTAGAGTCTACTTCCTTCTGGGGGAAGAGTGGCTGTCTTCCACAGAGCACTTCTGCTTCCTGTATGAAACCACCTCCTTCCCTCTGTCCTTGGGTCCTCCCTCTGGGTTGGGGGGTGGGGCAGGGGACTTGGCAGGTGTGTGTACCTGGCTTCCAGTAGCCAGTATGCTCCACTTGGAAGTCATTGATCCCAAAGGAGAAGCAATAACCATTGGGCACAAAAGCTGCCTTTGCCACCCTGGCCCTAACCTTGTTTCTTTCTCACTTTGCAGCAGAAAAAATCCTACCTTGAGCGGAGCGTGAAGGAAGCTGAGGACAATATCCGAGAGATGCTGATGGCACGGAGGGCCCAGTAGGAGGTCTGGAGGGAGACTCTCCCTCTGGATCCCTCCCTTCCTGGCGAGGGCAAGGCCCTGTGTAAGCAAAGCCTCTGCTCTGCCCTGATGGACGTTTTACTGGGGGGCCTTCATCCTCCTATGTTTTCTGTTATTACCCTGGGTCCCTTATAGATCCCAATGCTGTATTTCTTATCCTGGCTCTGCCTGCCACTCCTGCCTCTTTCTGCATGGGGTGTGCACCTCCCAGGAGAGGGAAGGTGGGAGGCAGGACAGACAGGGAAGCTCTGCCAGAGCCCACCACTGGTGCTGGGTCAGACCAGTGAAGGCATCTGCCCACTCTTCTACATCTGCTGTGCTGGAGCTGAGGATGTGGACAGAGGCCTGAGCGTCAGTGGTCAAGCTCTGTGTATCTCAGCTCTTGCCAGTCTGTCTCCAGGCCGGGGCCCTATCCCTTTTGGCGACTGGGATCTTGCCCTTTTCTCTTTCCCCCTTCTGATTCTTTGAGTGATTCTCTCCACTTCTGGGCCTCTATGTAATATACATAATATACAGATAGGGAAGAAGGAAGACCAAGCTATGTCTAGAAACTCCTTCCCCTAGAGATTCCAAAAGAAAATTCACTAATAAACCAGCAGGACCTCCACACTGTCTCCTTTTGGCCAGTATCATGAGGAAGTGGACACCATAGTTCTGAGGTCTCCTGTGGCTTGGGGGCACTGGTGGTCTGCAAGTGGTTTGTACTGCCTCATGAGAGTCAGTTAGCACATTTTCTAAAATTTTGTTGCAAACCAGTTGTTAAACACAACCATTATTAAATTACAGAAATTTACAATGAATTATATTAAACCAAGGTAATATTTAAAACTCATCTTTTCCTATTTTACTGTACTTTATTATGATTATGTGTTATTTAATAATTAATCTGTTGTATCTGGATGGTGGAAATCCATGTAGTGTGCTCCTACATTTCTCTTCCCAGCTCCGCTCAGAGACATTCAGTGGCATCAGTTTGGTAGTTCGAAAGCAGCCTAGATGGGAGCATTTATACCACAGAAATCAGGAAATCCTAAACCATGTTTTTTTTTTAATGTTTTTAAAAAAGAAAGAGAAGGTAGTTAAACATTTTTCCACCCACCGCTGCGTTGGGAAAAGGCAGGCAGGGACAAGCGGAGAAGGAGTTGCCAGCCATAGCCTCTTATTCCAGGCCAGGAAGGCCGGCTGAAGGCGAACCTGGCTCGCTGCTGTGGCAGCCCAGTGCCACCCTGCGGCCGAAGCAGAGAGGGACAGCAGGGCTGGCTCCTTTTCACTGGGGCAGCAGGAAAGGAAAGCTTTGCATCTGACCCAGCACAGAGGCCCCTTTTCTAGGTTCTGGGAAAAAGAGGGGGCAGCTCCTTGGTCAGTGCTCCTGCCTGAGCCTATCTCTGAGTGGGACCAGGGAGAGAACACCAGCTTGGCCAGAGGCTTGAGGACACCTGGCCTGGGAAGCTGCCTTCCTGACACACCCACACTGCTTGTGTAGAACCTGAGTGAAAGGTGAATAGACCCCTCTTCAGAGACTGGACAGTAACACTTGAGATAGCCACATTTGACAAGCATTAGCCCGGTACTTGGGTGAGCAGATAAGTAATTAGAAATAGTAACAGAGTCCAGCAGGCACATAGATGCACAGACAAGGGCTTAGAGTCTGTCTGGAATAATGTAAACAGTTGAGGTTTGGACAAATTTATTGAAACACACAAGGTTCTAGCAGAGAAATCATTCAGTGGTGTGTTACATCTGGCCACTACCTTGACTGTGTAATTTTAAAATTATAAATATATCTATTTCATAAACCTTTGGCCAAAACAAAAGGAGAGTCATTTAGCACATTCATTAAAGACCAATAAGAACTGGATTCTGGACATTAAAAAGATCAAGTCATTGCATTAAACAGTAGCATCCCACTAATCTAGAATCCCATTAGGTTGAAGGTAGAGGTGCCTGGGCAGAGCTAGTCATTTGTTACAGCAATCAGAAGAGATGGGGGCAGGCACACTCATCAGGCGGCGGCAGCACTAGCAGGACAGGAGGGCCGGTCCGGTCAGGTGAGCATGTCCCACAGACAGCAGCAACAGAGAGCAGTCCAACAGGCTGTGAGGCAGGTGGAGGAGCCCAAGTCATCCCTTCGTTGGTCTTCCACCACATACACTGGAGGGAGAAGAGGGGACAAAGGGTGAGAGGGAGCCAGTACAAACCCCAGGCCCTACGGAATGGACCCTCCCTTGCCCAAGGGAGGGCAACAGCAATTCAAAGCCTTTCAGCAAACTGGGCGCAGCCTTTCTGCTCCTGCCAATGCTGATGGCTGGAGGAAGGTTGACTGTGCTCACGAATGACTTTCTGTCCTGCAATCTGGACTTTAGACACTGTTCCTTCATAGACAAGCACTGGGAAAGTTACAGAACGGCCTCACAAAAGGGCAGCTAGAGTTGAGAGAATTAAATGTTCACTGCTGTTTGGGCTCAAGTTGGTTAACCTTGCATGGCTTATAAACCAGCCAGCACCACGTTCCCTTTCCTACAGGGAGCCCGGCGTTTCTTCAGATATAGCTGAGCCATCACTCAAGGGTAGAGAGAGGTGGGGAATTAAAACCTCCTAAGGAGAGGCTTCAAACCCACCAGCCACTCCTCGGAAGGAATGTTGGGCAATCTACTTCCGTAGTGATACTGCCTCGGCAACCCAAGGAGGGGTCTCTATGAGTCGGGGCCAACTCGACGGCACATAACAAGGTAACACACAAAACAAGGAGAGGCTTTGGGCCCTAACAGCATAACCAAGAAACCTTGGTTTTTCATACCTGGGCAATACTTGTGCCCCCAGCCTGTATGCTCTGATGATCAAAGCCTTTAGCCTTGGAGCAACATAAAAGCAGGATGAAAACCACGTTAAGTGTGACTGGTGGGCGGAGCCTGCACAGTGTCCCCTGAACCTAGCATTCCTGTTTTTCCTCAGAATGCTCTGGAGCTGAAAGTCTGAGGCCTGTCGCAGCTAAGTGCTCCATTTAGAGATCTGAGTGCTAAAAAATCCACAGGTCAAGAGAGACCTCAACCACATCTCACTTGTCAGCTGACTTACGGTTTGCAATTAGCCTCTTTTCTCATAAGGACCTATTTAAAATGGCTGATGGTCAACTTCAGCCTTGAGGGATCTGTGCCCACTTCTAATCAATCTCAAAACCACCACCATTGTCATCAAACTCATAAGCAGTAAGAATTTTAAACTTTTTAAAAGCTCATGAATGCATAAATCTTATAAATTAAACTAGTCCTTTGGCAATCTTTGTTTTGATTCTATTTTCGTGTTTGGTATCTATTTTTACACCTCCTCTCTTGGCAACTCATCTCTGCAGCCTGGTCTGGTAGCTAGAATGACATGGGTGGTAGTGAGCTTTTTTAAGCCCTCCCATGATATCAGCCACCCTCTAGGTCACGTGTTGTTAGGTGCCATTCAGTCGGTTCTGACTTCCAGCGGCCGAGAACAGAATGAGACCCTGGCTGGCCCTGTGTCATGCTCACAGTCATTGCTGCGTTTGAACCCATTGTTGTAACCTCTGTCAATCTATCCCAAGAGTCTTCCTCTTTTTCAGTGACCCTTTGTGAGGCTTGATGTCCTCCTCTAGGGACTGGTCCCCCCGATAACATGTCCAGAGTGAGTGAGAGCAAGTCTTGCCATCTTCACTTCTAAAGAGCATCTGGCTGTACTTCTTCTAAAACAGGTTTGTTCGTTTTTCTGGCAGTCCATGACAATCAAGATTTTTTGCCAGCACCATAATTCAAAAGCATCAATTTTTCTTCTTCAATTTTTCTTCTTCATTGTCCAGCTTTCACATGCATATGAGGCCATTGAAAGTACCATGGCTTGAATGAAGTGTACCTTAGTTCTCTAGGTGACATCTCCACTTATTTTTTTAAACACTTTTTAACACTTTAAGCATTTTGCAGCAGATTTGCCCAATGTATATACATCGTTTGATTTCTTTGCTGCTGCTTCCATGGGCGTTAATTATGGATCCAAGTAAAACTTCCATATTTTGTCCATTTATGTTGCCTACTGGTCCAGTTGTGAGGATTTTTGCTTTATGCTGAGGTATAATCCATACTGAAGACTATAATCTTTGATCTTCATCAGTAAGTTCTTCAAGTCCTCTTACTTTCAGCAAGCAAGGTTGTGTCATCTGCATATTGCAGGTTGTTAATGAGTATTCCCCCAATCCTGATGCTGTGTTTTTCATATAGTCCAACATCCTGGATTATTTGCTTAACCATACAGATCGAATAAGTATGGTGAAAGGATACAACCCTAACACATACCTTTCATGATTTTAAACTAAGCAATACCCTTTGTTCTGTTCAAACAACTGCCTCTTGGTTTGTGTACTTGTTCCTTATCAGCACAATTAAGTGTTCTGGAATTCTCATTCTTTGTAATGTTATCCATAATCTGTCATGATCCAAACAGTTGAGTGCTTTTGCATAGTCAATAAATTAACACAGGTAAAAATCTTACTGGTTTTCTTTGCTTTTAGCCAAGATCTATGTGATATCAGCAATGATAACCCTTGTTCCATGTCCTCTTCTGAATCTGGAGTGAATTACTGGCAGTTCCCTGTTGATATACTGCTTCAGCTGTTTTTAAATTACCTTGTTCAATAATTTCCACATTCTGTTGGATTAATTTTCTGTGGAAGAGGCACAAATGTGGATCTTTTCCAGTTGGTTGGCCAGGTCTTCCTAATTTCTCGGCATAGAAGAGTGAGTGTTTCTGGCATTGCTTCTGTTTGTTTGAAACATCTCAGTAGGTATTCTGTCATTTCCTGGAGCCTTGTTTTTCACCAGTTCCTTCAGTGCAGCTTGGACTTCTTCCTTCAGTACCATTGATTCTTGATCATTTGCTCCCTCCTTAAATGTCTGAATGTCAATTAATTCTTTTTGGTATAAAAAACCAAACTCACTGCCATCGAGTTGATAACGACTCATAGCAACCCCCTTTGGGTTACTGAGGTGGTAAATCTTTATGGAAATAGATTGCCCAGTCTTCCTTCTGCAGAGGGGCTGGTGGGTTTGAACCGCCAACCTTCTGGTTAGCAGTCAGATGCCTGAGCCACTGTGCCACCAGAACTCCTCCTCTTTTTGGTATAATGGGTTATATTCCTTCCTTTTTTTTTTTTTTTTTTAATTGTGGTTTGGGTGCAGATTTACAAAGTCGATTCATTTTACTCTCAATAGTTCATGCACTTTTGATTTCATGGCCCAGATTACAACCCCTAGCCATGAAAAGCTCTCCTCCCCGTGACTACTCCTTCTCCCTGTGCCCTTCTTATCCATGCATTCCTGTCTGTCCAGCTTTCCCTGTATGTGAATGTTGGTCCTCTGATGTCTCACGGTCGATTGATCTAAGGGGTGCATCTCCCTGGAGTAGGTATTCTGTTTGTTAGTCTTTCTACTGTTGGGTTGAAAGCTAGTCCACAGAACTCAGTCCCTTTCCATGCCCAAAGGATAACCCGGACCATAGTTTTGGGGCCTCACCAATCTTTATCCGACCAGTAATTTTGGACAGTTTATGTTTTTTAATTTTGTTCCACATTTTTCCTCTCCCTATCCAGGATCTCTAATTTTGATCCCTTTCTGAGTGGCTGGCATTGGTAGCCAGGTACCATCTAGTTCCTCCTGGTCTCAGGGTCATGAAGACTGATCTTTGGACTGTTTCTACATGACTTTGATTTTCTCCACTCTTCTTTGCTTCAGATGAGATGAGACCAGTAGTGGCATCTTATGTCACTTGAAACCTTTTAAGACCCCAGTTGCTACTCACCAAAGTAGGATGTAGAACAAGCTTTTTATGTACTGTGTTGTGCCAGTTGAGTAGGATGTTCCCCGAGACTATGATCCCAAGCCTGCAGGCCTGGTGATTCTCTCCATCAAGGTGTTTGGTTTTTTTCCCATCTTCTTTTGATGCTTCCTGCATTGTTCAATATTTTGCCCAAAGAATTCTTTAGTATTGCAACTCAAAGCTTGAATTTTTCTTCAGTTCTTTCAGTGTAAGAAATGCCAAGCATGTTCTTCCTTTTTGGTTTTCTAATTCCAGGGCTTTGCACATTTAATTATAATATGTTACCTTGTATTCTCAAGCTACCCTTTGAAATCATTTGTTCAAGCTCGATCATTTTGCTTTAGCTACTCCATGTTCAAGAGCAAGTTTTAGAGCCTCTTCCGATAATCCATTTTGGTCTTTTCTTTCTTGTTTTTTTAATGACCATTTTGCTTTGTTCATGTATGATGTTCACCCACAACTTGTTTGGTCTTGGGTCATTAGTGTTTACTGTGTCAAATCTGTTCTTGAGATGGTCTCTAAATCCAGGGGATATACTCAAGGTCAAACTTTGGCTGTCGTGGACTTGTTTTAATTTTCTTCAGCTTCAGCTTGAACTTACATATGAGCAATTGATGGTCTATCCCACAGTTGTTCCCTGGCCTTGTCCTGACTGATGATACTGAGCTGCTTCATAGTCTCTTTCCACAGATGTAGTCCATTTGATTCCTGTGTATTCCATCTGGTGTGGTCCACGTGTATAGTCACTATTTATGTTGTTGAAAAAAGGTATCTGCAGTATGTCATTGGTCTTGCAAAGTTGTATCATGTGGTCTCTGGAGTCATTTCTATCACCAAGGCCATATTTTCCAACTTCTAATGCTGCTTCTTTGTTTCCATCTTTCACATTCCAATCACCAGTAATTATCAATGCATCTTGATTGCCTGTTTGGTCAGTTTTAGACTGCAGAAGTTGGTAAAAATCATATTTCTTCACTTTTGGCTTTACTAGCAGCTCTGGTGGCATAGTGCCCAAGGCATTTTACTGCAAACCAGAAGGCTGGTGGTTCAAAGCCACCAGCCACTCCTCAGAAGGAAGACTGGGGAATCTACTTCTGTAGAGATACTGCCTCGGAAATCTAAGGAGGGGTTGCTATGAGTTGAATTGACTTGATGGCAGTGAGTTTGGTTTATTTTGGTTGGTTTCACTGGTTGGTGCGTAAGTCTGAATAATAATAGTAAACTGGTCTTCCTTGTAGGCATATGGATATTATCCTATCACTGACAACACTGTACCTCAGGATATATCTTGAAATGTTCTTTTAGGTGATGACTGTGATGCCTACCGTTCCACCTCAATTTGTCATTCCTGGCATAGTAGACCATATAATTTTCCAGTTCAAAATGGCCAGTATCATCAATTTCAGCTCACTAATGCCTAAGATATCTATCTTCAAATGTTTCATTTCATTTTTGACAATTTTCCTAGATTCAGTTTGTACATATATCCATGTTCCGATTATTAGTGGATGTTTGTAGCTGTTTCTTTTCATTTTCATTCATGCCACATCAGCAAATGAAGGTGCCTAAAATCTTTACTCCATCCACTTCATTAAAGTTGACTCTGCTTTGTGGGGTAGCTCTTTCCCAGTTGTACTTTGAGTGCCTTTCAACCTGAGGAGCTCATCTTTTGGTACTATGTTGTTATGTGTCATGGAGTCGGACCCGACTCACAGCGACCCCTGCTTGG